TTCTAAATTGTCATTTGAAGACCTAGGCTCTAGCCTGGAATTAGGACACCTGTGTTCCAGTAAAATGAGGTTAATAATACCTACATTCTTGGTTTGCTATAAATTTTTATATATTTAGGACATACATATACATCACATAGTATCTTATATGTGAAAAAACATTCACAAAATAGGTTCCCTGCCCTCTATCCTTGAGGGTGGCAGCTCTGGTTTACTCATCTTTTCCCCACACACACCTCGTATATAGCTTCCATGTATTTTGTGTTTAAAAAAAAAAATGTTAAACTGAATTGAATTGACAGACTTTAAATACAAGAGTTGGAGACTGCCTATGTTATCAGAGGCATTAAGCAATAAAATTACCAAATTTTGGGAAAGCATGTCAGAAGAAGTCAGAGTTTTATGTGCACTGACCATATCTAACATGTATTAGATGCTTATATTTTAATAGATGCCCCTCTATACCATTAAAAAGAAAAAAAGAAAAAAATCAAGAGTCTCATTTATCTTAATTTTTTAAATTTAAGGCTGTCATTTCATCATTCTATAAAATATGTCTCTCATCCTCTATTTTTCTAGTTGTTTCACTCATTTGTTAATCATCCAGAAGAAATTTATGGAGCCATAACCACGTGGCTTGTACTATGCAGAGAACTGAGAACAAGGATCCTCTCTGTCCTTGCCTGAGGGGGAGGGTATAGCTCAGTGGTTGAGTGCATGCTCAGCATGCACGAGGTCCTGGGTTCAATACCCAGTACCCCCATTAAAATAAATAAATAAATAAACCAAATTATGCCCCGCCTCCAAAACAAAACAAAATTAAAAAGCCAACTTGGTCCTTGCCTAGAAAGAATACCTAATTTTAGTTTAAAAGACATGTTTCAAAAAGTGGAAGCACTATTTGAATAATGCCAGCAAATCAACACATGGGCCAAGTCAGGTATGTGTTATCATCATCTAGTTTCAAATATTCACCAGAGGGGGGAAAAAAAAACAGGAAAAATTACTTTAAATGTTCCATTACCATGAATCAAAGAATTTCTGAGAACTGGGAAAATAGCCACTCCATCATAGCTGCTACTGCTGGAGAAAAAAAAAAAAGCACCAAAACTGTTTACAAATTCCCTAAGGCATTTTTTTCTTCCAAAACAGCATAAGCAGTAAATAACCTTCTAGATAAATATAAACTGCCTGAAAGTGTTATAAAATGCTAAAACTTCTATCCTGAGACCGCAACATTTAAGTTTATGATAGACAATAGTTGTACCTGAGGGAAATTAAGAAAAAAATATTACTCTGCTTCAGGAAGGTAGTTGTGATGGAAAAGGAAAGATGGAGACTATTCCCTCACTCAACAAACATTTATTTAGCATTTGTCTATAAATATACACTTATTGAGCATACTCCAGGCCTTGTGCTTAATTCTGGGGAAAGAGTAGAAAGCAAGACAGACACAGACTCTTGTCCTCCCTTGGAGGCTAATATAAAGGAGAAATCCTACAGAAAAATACCTGCGTCAATGTGCTGAACCAAACAGCCATATTTATTCATTAAGTCACTCATCAGTAATAAAAGTTAATAGTTGTTCACTTAATGAACAATTAAGTGACTACCATGTGTCAGTTGCAATGAATGTCAATCACAGAAGCTTGTAAGTTCTTGCCTTGAAGATGTCACAATCTAGATGCTTACACAGATACAAATAATTTTGATACTTTATAAGAAATAACTTAATAAAAAACTGTGAACTGTCTAAGGAAGTACATAGGATAACATATCATGCTAGGGAAAGGGAACTTGAGCCAGGTGAGGCTATATGTTAGTAACCTGAGTCTCAAAAAATGAGTAAGAGTTTGCCAGGCAAGGAATTTCAGACAAAGGAGAAAACCATAGTAAGTGAAGTCACAGAACAGGGTACAGGACAGCGAAGGGGACATAAAATGGGGTTAAGTTAAGTCATTCATGGGTCAGTTCATGAAGAGTCCTGTATGCCACCATGCTATATTTATCCAGTTTATACAATTACAGTGGAAGGTTTGGACCCTGGAAAATTTACTAAAAGGGAGGTCACCATAATTAGGTCTTAGCATAGAAAAATAACTGATGGCAGTGTGAAGGTTAAAAAGGGTAAAGTTCCAGAAGCAAAGAGACTCCGTTTTTAAAGGCTGATAGGTCAGGGTAGAGATGATAAAGACAAACAGAGTAACTTTAAAGTTTCTTTTCCACTTTTCCATGAGAACCAGCTTTGCTGAAGCAAAGTTTGACCATGACCTTTGAGTAGTAAACAATGAATTCAAATTACGACACAAGTATTTTTCCCTACATTTTTATCTAATTTCCCAAACAGGTTAATGAACATTAATTCTTAGTCTCTAAAGGGAAGCTTACCTGAGAAAGTCCTTTCACATCTGCAGATATATTTCAAAAATTTTAAAATAAATTGCATCTTTTTAAAAAATAGTATGAAAAATTTCTTCAGTTCCTTGCCAAACATTTTATTTTCTACTGTTTTCAATAAGATTAGTGAATATGTCCCATCCCTAGGTCATTTATTCTTTCCTAACACTACCTTTTGTCAACTTCCCATCACTTTCATTACTTTCAGGTTCCCCTACAGTTATTATCAACTGTCTTACCTTCTACCTCATCACTGGTCACTGCCTGGACCAATGATTCCCAACAGAAGAAAAACAGACCCTTAGGGACATGTTGAAAGTTTGTGAGGAATTTTTGGTTGTCATAATAAGCTGGATAGGAGGGAGGGTATTTGGTGCACGGGGAACACTGATCCTAGAAGTCCTAAAATGTATAAGACGACACTGTACAACAAAAAACTGTCTGCATCCCTCAAGATTTTGAAAGATTCTACTGGACACTAAGTAGTGAAAAGCCTGTATATAATCATCTCAGTCTAGGACTTTATTATACATAAAATATATCATTTTTGTACCATTTTAGTGAGGACTGAATTTTCCCAAAATGCAACTATCATGTAAACTGAGGTAAGATTCCACTTTGTTTTGTTCAAAGTTTAACCAAAAATTGTTCACAACTTGGGAAAAATGAGTGTGTTGATGCAAATGGTCCTTATTTGCATCTGAACTGCCAATGTAATACACCTGAAATCAGCCTGCATTTACAGCCATCACACTCAGTGATTTTTCTGCTTTGGTGCAATATGCCAGCAACTGATTAGCACTTCCTTGTGTCTTCTAATGGAATCATGCCTGAACACTTGCATATTTAAGTAGTAGACATGTTATTTTCTAATAAAATACTTGTTTCACCTTTATGCTTCAATTAAAGCAGTACATTTTACCTACTTATATTTAAAAAATCACCAATATTACTTCTATCTTCAGAATGCTACAGGGCTCCAACTGCCTTCCAAATCAGCCTAGTACTGAGATATTTCACTACTCCCCATAAAGAGATGACTTACACCTAACCTAGTATCTCATCAGGTTTATATCACTGACTGAATACTCCATTCAGAAAGCCTTTTCTAAGGAGTCAGCAAGTAATAGTGGAAAGAGTATAGGATTTGGAATCCTAGGTCTAATACTTATTAGGAGAATGATCCTGGATGAGCTACCCTGTCTCCTCATTTAAGTGAGAATTAACGAGGACCTTCCTTACAGGGTTGTAGTAAGAAATGAATCAGACACAGCAGGAGCTCAGTTTGCCTTTTCAAACTTTTATCTGTCTTGTTCATTTACTTACTCCAAGGATGATACATGGCACTCAGCAGTGCTCAAATGTCTGCTGAATAAAAGCATACTGCTTTCTGAAACATTTCCAGGCAAACCCAGCTGACACTGTTTGTCCCAAAAATTTATCAGTTAATCAAGTAATGATTACTGAGCACTCACAACTTGAGTGCTTACTCGAAGTAAATACTCAGTCTCTGCTCTCAGAAAACAGAAAAATGATGGGAAATGACAGGTCAACATAAAAGGTGTCACAAGGCAGTGTATGACTAGTCAAAACCAACCCTACAGACAGAAAGTGCGCTGCATCTAAAGGCAAGACATATTGCTGTGGGCTGGATCAGCATGGAACGTGGTGTGGAAAAGGGATAAAACAGGCATGTCTCCAGACTTTCTCTAACTAATCCATTCTTCTTACACATAGCTTGAGAGAACTTTACAATAGCCCAACCCATCACTCCTCGCTCAAAGCTCATCAAAATAGTACCACTGCCCTCAGGATATCCCAGCCTATTCCTGTGGTTTACCAGCTTCTAGCGCCCATTTATCTGGGAACAACACTGATCAATAAGGTAGCCACTGACTATATGTGGCAACTGAGCACGTGAAATGTGTCTAGTCTGAACTGAGATGTGCTGTTGGTGTAAATTTCACACTGGATTCCAAAAATAGTACCAAAAAAGAAAAAAGTAAAACATCTCCATCTCATGAATAAACACTTCCTTTTCCCAGCTCTACTTTTCAGCCTGAATAAACCCCCTGCTATTTCCGGCTGGGCCCTCTTTCTCTGGTCTACTTTATAGCTACTACGACTCATAGCTGAAATACTTTTTCCTCTTCCCTGAGTTTACTGCCAGTCATTCTTCAGATCTTAGCTTTACATCGATGGTTACATCGCTTCCTCCAAGAAGCCTCCCCTGATCTCACCGCCTGGCCCCGAAAGACGGGGCTGGGGTCTCCTACGTGACGGGGAACATCCATCCCACAGTACTCATCATGTTGCATCAGCAACTGCCTGTTTTCTGGTCAGTCTCCCGGTAACAGTGGAAGCTCCCTGAGGGACCAGAGACTGGGCAAGCTTACTCGTCAACGCCAGGCACCGAGCAGCATCTCGGCTGAACAAGTGAGGGGTGAGGCAAAGATGGTGCATGAACACCGCGAGGTCCCCGGTTCGAGGGTAAGGGGTGCAGAGGGGTGAGGCATTGAGTAGAGGGGTTTCCGGGGGGGCGCTGGCGGACAGGCTCCGGCAGCTTGGCGCGGGAGACCGGCGGGAGCGCGGGCAGGACTCACCAGCCCCGGGTCGATGTCCGCGTCGGACCGCTTGGCGGGGGGCTG